ACCAAAGTAATTATGTATATGATATACCTGACCGATGCTGCAGGAAATCATCGAAGACACCACTACTTCAATGATCTCCGCTTACTTCTGGATCCCACCTGAGCAGCTGCTCTACCTCATTGGCTGCTTGGCATTAGCACCATTCAAAGATTGCTTTGCATTTTCTGAATGGTGACTCCATGCTCTTCACCTTATTTAATCAGAGAATACTTTATATTCATTCAGAAAATGCAAAGCATTCTCTGAATGGTGCTCATGCTGAATGGCAGACCACCTATGTTTAGAATGCATAAGGCTGGCCGCTCAGCACAGGACACGGAAATAGGGATCACTGGAGTAGCGGTGTCTATTTCAGTGATTTAAAGCTGGATCGGCCAGGTATGTCATATGCATAGTTTAATTAGTCCAAGCATAACATACTAGTGCCTGGAAGTATTCTTTAAGTTTATGTTTAGCCAAACCTTTTTTTTTTTAGTTTTGAATAAAATAGTGGTAGGTTCAAATCTGTTTTTTTGTTCTGTCTGTGTACCAATGGAGACATTTCCCTTCACTTCTTGTCCCATAGAGCCAAAAGGAAATTAATGCAAATCTCCCAAAGTGAGTGGGATTCCCTTTGTAGACAGTTGTTTCTTGTACAAGGCTTAGTCATGAAGGTTTACTATCACTTGTGTTATGAATGAACACAGGAGTACTCACTACTAAGCACTCCTTTGTTCATTCATGGGATCAGTAAACTAAGAAAACATGTTTACTGATCCCCCCCCCCCCCCCCCCCCCCCCCACTTGCCATACTGAGGATCCGATCCTCTCTACTTTGAGCCTTCTGACAAACGGAGGGAAGAGAGAGGGAGACAAGGGTACAGACCAGCAGAGATGCAGCAGGATGGAGGCCACAGAGAAGTATGTGGGAGAGCCACATAACATTTAGTTGGGGAGAGCAACTAATATCAAAGCAGACGCAGAGGCGAGCAGACTGTAGGTGCACAGAAAAAGGAACAATTGCACACAGTCTAGATACAATCCAGGGCAGAAAAGTGGTAGAAGCGGGGGATGTGGTCACATTCTTAATGAATATCTGTGATCAATAACTTGTTAGACACTGGTCAACCCTATTCATTTATTCAAGAAAGTCTAGGGGACACTTCAGTTATAAGGTCATGGTTGGTGAATCAACAGCACAAAGGAATGCACAAGGTAATGGGGAACATAAGGGATACTGAGCTAGCTAGCTTGAAGCAATGCTGTTCCAATGCAACCCTTATGTTGGTGGAAGCAAAAGAGTTAAAACGCATTCGAACCCTTGTCATTTAAAACTGTAACACAGTCAGGCTGCATATTCTGTTAAAATACCCTGTGATCTCAGCACAAAGGGGAGTCAAACCATAGCTCACTAACATATAGCATCAGCCTAGCTTTCTGGTTTCCCAAACACTGCTCTAATTGACAGTACTTGCACTCCCTCATCTAGGACCAGTGTATATTTTTGTTCATGTCAGAACTTCTTTTTTGCTCATACAAGTCAAAGGAAATGCATGAGCAGCTTAAAGCCTGTGTTAGATAATGTGTTTATGTGAAATCTCCATTAAACACTGTAAATAATATTGTAATTATGAATATATTTCAGTTAGAGCTGTATCAGTCTGGGTGTGCAATATGTGTTCTCATAAATTCTTGTTCTATAGATACTATAGTTGCCAAAGGGAATATTCTATTAATTACACCTTCTTTTCTGTATAACATAAGTCTTTGCTGAGAATCCTTTTTCAGACAGTTCAGTGCCAGAGTTAGTTTATCTAACAATGGGATAGACCCGCTGGCTTCCCAAATATGCACTTCAAAGGATAACTCATTTAGATATGCATTGAAGGTGGCCACCCATTCATGAATACTTAGTTTCCCAGGAAAAGGTCATGAACTGGCTTGCTTAAACTCCCTGGCAATATTCCCGAGTGTAGCTCGGGGTTAACCTTCAGTACCAAAAGTGGTAACCCTGAGCTACACTTGGGATTACCCCGCAGCGTTGCTCTGGGACTCCATGTTTCACTTACCTTGTCCTTCGCTCCTTCTATGTCCCCCCTGCAGCATCCCCGGCCATCTCCTCTGGCCAATCTGTCTTCCGGGTTCCGGTCTCTGCGAGCGTCAGGGCGTATGGGACGTACGGGGGGCGGAACCGGCAGGAAATTAAAAAATTTTAAAAAGTGACATTCACTAAATACACTAAAATCACATAGTAAAACATTACTGTATCAAAGCATTTCACATACATTTTGTCCCGAGTGCTTTGTCCTGTGCCCTGCCTGCATTTTTACTGTTCTTTCTGCCTGGAAACTGAGAAAAGTCCATGGCGTCCAAAAAGCGTCCCTTTACGTCAAAAGTGGTTTTAGATCAGCTAGAGAACAGTGATAGTAAATTAGAACTACTTGCAGAATTGAGTGACAATGATTTGTGGGGAAATTCGTCATCAGACACTGAAAACAATTTTGCGACTAAGCTCAGTGATGTGCGAACTTGGCCATATTTCAAATTTCAGTGTTTTTGGTTTGATTATATTATTGAATTAAATGTATTATTATTATATTATTATTTTGTATGATTATTTATTATATTATAAATTTATGATTTTGTGAGTTATTCCTAAAAAATAACAGGCCTACAATAAAAAAACAACATATTTCCATGCAAAAAATGTAGCGCTTTGAGCACAGACATATTGTCATAATCATAACGCTAGGGAGGTTAAATTCCATAAGGGGTGTGCCAAGATTTGCCTTAAAGGGGGTTGGTGAATGCTAAATACAGGGGATTTAAAGTTAGCCAATTATGAAAGGGAATAGATTGGCCAACCAATCAGAGATACTCCATGAAAATTAATGGAGGAGAAGCCTATAACTATGGACACGAGAGAGAGAGAGAGAGAGGACTTTTACGTCCAGTTCCATGGTAATTATGGAATATATCCCATGCACTTATATCTAAATGTTTGTCTTATGTATTCTCTGTCTCACTGTTTTTTGTATTTTGTGTTATGTTTGAGCTTTCTTAATAATGTTTCTTTTATGTAACTAGATTTTGTTGTTGTGTTAAACCTTTCACTTCTGGGTAAGAACTCTTCATTTACCAAATCATATCAGAGAAATGTTATATTTCATAATCTATAGATTTTGTCAACACCTGCACACTGCTATAATTAACAGCATTATTCAGGGAGTGCGAGCTGAGTGATTAAGCATGTTTTGAGTGCAATGCGTTAGAGAATGGAGTCTTGGTGGGGTGCATGTTGTACTTCTGAATACAAAATGTTCTGTGCTTGGGATATTTCAGAGTGCAGACTTTTTTTTGCCTTTTATTTATTACAGGAGTGGACCAATTTCACATAACAACCAATAAAGTTTTCCTTTCAGATACAGCAAGGAATCACATTGTTAATGGTAACTACTCCCATTGTATTTTACTTTACTAATGTTACTGCAATGTAACCCCACAACCTGCCCGAATGTTAGGTATTAAAGTATGCATTAGTTGTTCAGGTATTCCAATGGAAGCAGGTAAAAGAAAATGCCTGTATTCAATGATTCAGCTACTCCTTATAAATCTGTGCCCCTTTTTCTGTCTACATTTACAATATATAACATTTTACAATTAACATATTTTTAGCAGGTTTTAGAGGCAAAGTTGATTTAAAAACATAAATGGGCATCTCAGGGACACAAGTGAAAACACACTTCACTCATAGCAAGTGAATGTATAAGTTATGTGCCTATTTGTATTGCATATGTTTTATTCTAGCACAAGGAAAGCTTTTTTTTAATGTTGAACATGCAGAAAAACATGACTTCTGCTCAATGTACAGCACTGCAGTGTCTCCATTAAATGGAATGTTTCAAATTGATTGCAATCTTCAGCAACCATTGTACTGTACTTCAGCAACAATTTCAATTGCTATATGCCAACATGTATTGATTTAACAATCATCATTAGTGCCCAACAAATCAAATGGTTGACAATACCTGCAATAATACTGCTCTGTTTTCTTCAGTCGCACTATAGCACTGCAAATACAGAATTCTGTATACAAAAATATGTAAAAGCTTTTAAATAATAACATTTTCTGAGGACAGTTCCTAGTCATGTCTAGTATTTTACAGACACATGTAAACTACCAAAAATTTGAAGGTGTGAAGTAGTTAATCTCTGTTTTATTACAATAAATGGAATATAGTGCCCAAATTCCAAAGCACTCAGTCACTATACAACTATAATTTATATATATATATATATATATAAAAACATACTATATTGCCAAAAGTATTGGGACGCCTGCCTTTACACGCACATGAACTTTAATGGTATCCCAGTCTTAGTCTCTAGGGTTCAATATTTGGTTTGGCCCGCCCTTTGCAGCTATAACAGCTTCAACTCTTCTGGGAAGGCTGTCCACAAGTTTAATAGTGTGTCTATGGGAATGTTTGACCATTCTTTCAGAAGTGCATTTGTGAGGTCAGGCACTGATGTCAGACGAGAAGGCCTGGCTCACAGTCTCCATTGCATAGGTGTTCTATCAGGTTGAGGTCAGGACTCTATGCAGGCCAGTCAAGTTCATCCATGTCTTTATGGACCTTGCTTTGTACACTGGTGCACAGTCAAGTTGGAACAGGAAGGGGCCATCCCCAAACTGTTCTCACATTGAGAGCATGAAATTGTCCAGAATGTCTTGGTATGCTGATGCCTTAAGAGTTACCTTCACTGGAACTAAGGGGCCAATCCCAAACCCACAAAAAACAACCCCACACCATAATCCTCCCTCCACCAAACTTTACACTTGGCACAATGTCAAGCAAGTACTGTTCTCCTGGCAACTGCCAAACTCAGACACGTACATAGGATTGCCAAACAGGGAAGCATGATTCATCACTCCAGAGAACACATTTCCAGTGCTCTAGAGTCCAGTGGTGGCATGCTTTACACTACTGCATTTGACGCTTTGCATTGCACTTTTTGATATAAGGCTTGGATGCAGCTGCTCGACCATGAAAACCCATTCCATGAAACTCTCTATGCACTGTTGATGTGCTAATCTGAAGGCCACATAAAGTTTGGAGGTCTTCAGCTACTGACTGTGCAGACAGATGGCGACTTCTGCATACTGTGAGCTTTAGCATGCATTGACCCCACTCTGTCATTTTGCATGGCCTACCACTTGGTGGCTGAGTTGCTGTTGTTCCCAGTTGCTTCCACTTTGTTATAATATCACTAACAGTTGACAGTGGAATATTTAGTAGCAAGGAAATTTCACGAATGGACTTATTTCACAGGTGACAACCTATCACGGTACCACGGTTGAATTCACTGGGCTCCTGAGAGAGACCCATGCTTTCACAAATGTTTGTAGAAGAAGACAGCATGCCTAGGTGCTTGATTTTATACACCTGTGGCCATGGATGTGATTGGAACACCCAAATCCAATGATTTGGAGGGGTGTACCAATACTTTTGGCAACACAGTGTGTATGTATATATATATATATATATATATATATATATATATATATATATATATATATATATATATATATATATATATATATATATAGGGCATGTCCACTGATCAGTGTGATGTGGCTATGTGGATCACCTCTGTCCTCGATGTTCTTTTAAAATTCTTACGCCAACTCATACAAGGGTTTTAATGCTTGTCTGGAGATGAATGTTGGTAAGCAGCTGATTAGTAGTTAGATTCTGCAAAGTTCATACTATTTTAATATATCCCATAAACTGGACTAACTGGACTGTAAACATGCTATTCTGCTGGAATGAAAAGGGGCTTCCAGACTTCAATACATTCCCTACTCTGCAAACACCACAAACATTTTGGAGGGACAGGCTGAGGGCCTTGGCTTGGCAGTCTTGGCTTTGCAGCCCCCCTTGCAATGTACCTTCCCAATGTTGAAAGGTGTGTGGCCTGGTAAGGTCCAGGGGGAAGGAATGCACACTCACTACCCTCCCTTACCTGACCACCCAGGGCTGAATGCTTGGATAGGGACCTGGTGTACAGTTTAAGGGAAACCCCAGGCAATTGTTTAAGGGGCAGTATAAATTAATGAAAAAGGAGAAAAAAAAATTTACTCTTTAAGCCACATTAAAAGATCTCTCTCCCCTCATTATTTAATTATTTATTTTTTCAATGGTAAATGTTCACTTGGCAGTACTCACTTACCCATGCTAATTTTATTAACCAAAGTTTGCAAACTAGCCTTAAAAAGGACAGAAAAAAAACAGCAATAGTTGGCTCCCATAGACTTCATTGGGGTTTGGAAATATGTTCAGGCGTTGTGTTCGATGAACCTCCTACAAACCAACATTTGCCCAGTTTGCTCATCCCTAGGAATGACATACAATTTTTCCTGCTAAACTACCATAGAGGCTCGGAGAATGCACAGTCCTTATTAAAATGCATAATAAAACAAATATATGCAAGATAGTAATGTAAAGTTAAAATAAACCTTAAATAAATAAACCTAAAAAAGCTTCATATTTAGAAAAAAAATGCAAAAAGGTATGTTCCTTCTTTTAATGTTGTTCCTAATATAAAGTGTTCTTGCTGTACAGGTTTTCTGTGTAAGCTATATAAAATAACAAACTTCAGTAAAAAAATTAAAAAAATGTAAAAAAAATTGCATATGATTAATATCTGTTAACTTGCTGTTTCTGCCTTTTTAGTCAGATTTTCAAGAAGTAAATAGACAAATGTATACATTACCAAACTTCAATAATCCAGTCTAAAGTTTAAAAGTATAAAACCTTTTTTTTATACCTGAAACATGAATAGACATTTAGAACTTAGGCTTGCTAAGTAAACATTCATTTTGCTAACTGAATGTTTTCTACTTGTTTAGTAAATCAACACAGATGAATCAATAAAACAATAAAAATTGGTTGCATGAGAGTTGTCTTGTAAGTCAGTTTTACACCTAGCATTGTGGTTCTAGAGGGGTGAAGGCATTGTGTATTAGAAAGTGAATATTAGAAGCAGAAAACAGAAAGAAAATAGAAGAGAGAGGGGTGAAGGTATGAAAGGGGTTGGGTAAAAGGTCTTTATTTAATTTGCATGAACAGTTTATTTTTTAGGACAAGCTTCTTAAAGATCCCCTTTCCTTATCAGTTTGAATCCGTATGGATTCAAAGCCCCAAGCCATTTGTAGCACTTTTTGTTTACCTTTAAAAATCAATTTTTTGCTAGAAAATGTCTTAGAACCCCCAAACATTATATATATTTTTAAAGCAGAGGCCCTAGAGAATAAATTTGTAGGAAAAAACATCACTTTTATTGCTGTCACAAGGAATGTAAACATCTGTGACAGCAACAGACATGTGAAATATATTTTTTATTAAGGGATCTGGGGTATATAGGACCCCAAATCCCTCCTCTGCACTTGAAAACATTCAAAACACCAAGACCTGTGTTTTTGAATGCTTTCAGATTTTTAAAAATGGCACAGAAAGTTTCATAATAAACTGGAAGTGATGTCAGGCCATCATGTCCGGTTTACAATAAAGGAGAACCAAATTCAGCATTGTTCGGCTGTCTGGTCAGCCGACAGACACTCCAGCTGGTCACTCAGGACTTCCAATGGGACAGGAAATCTTGAGAGAGCTGCAGAAGGCACTGGGAGGGGAGCTAGTTAGCTGCTCTGATTGCTTGTACAAGAGAGCCAACCGCCGGCTCTTAAAAAAACAGTATGATGGCACCACTCTGGTACGACCATCGAAAGTCTAGAGACGTATGGGTACATCGCTGGTCTGGACATGGTTAAGAAATGCTAGCAATAATAAATACAATTGCAATTACAAATAAAATTAAAAAGTAAGTTAGTGGGAGCAGGACAGCATTTACCATGATGTAAAGTAGAACAGCATGTTGCACAATATGGCAAACTTATATCTGAGTTCATTCTCATCCAGGAACAATAGCTCTGCACCATCCTCCATCTTCTCCAATGCCTCTTCAGCACCTGTCACCTTCCTTCTACAGCCCCAGGGTATGCACAATGGAGTTATGTTATCTCTAATTGTTCTGCATCTTTTATATGCCAAGAGTCTGCAGAGCGCTGCACATTTACTACTGGAAGTGTACATACAGTACATAGAAGGGAAGAAGTATTTTGGCAGGAGAGACATATAACATTTCTTCTACCAAAAAAAAACTATAAATACTGGCAAAAACACAGGGTAATTGAAGTGATCCAGATAAGACGCAAATAGTGGACTATAGAATGAGAAGGGGCAGAGCCACAGCACTAAGGAAGGTCATAAAGTAAACAGTGATTTAGAAAAAGTAAAATCAGCACTGAGTCTAACTTTAATGTCAAAAAGAACAACTGTTTTGTCACAAGTGCTGTAATCCGCAATAATCACCTTACAGTAAAATACTTTGGATGATATTAACATAAAAAAGTGTGGGTTACCGCTTTTATAATATGTAATGCAAAGTAACCAGTGCGTATACGCATGCACGAGTTATGCCATTATATAGTTTGCTAAATATAGATAATTTTCCAGGTTCTGGCAATAGTCCTTTTTTGTTGCAAAAAATATATATTAATATCCAGTTATGGAGTTACATGAGGGTATTTGCATTAGGGATATTTAGGGGCCTTCATCAGTCCTCATGCACATGGACGTTTGTAAGTATTTTATATGCCTAGCATTAAAACCCAATCTCTTTCCTGAGTCCAAAGAACCGCACCTGGCATGTACAGACTGCCATACAAGTGAATGACTGTGTGCGGCTGTAGTTGTGGAAATGACGATGCCTTCGTGTTTACCCTCCCATGCAGGTAGGAAGTAGTTCCTGAATGCAAATGTTTCGGTTTAAGAAATACATTTTACATGCATGCATGAGTTAACACTAGTGCATACAGTTGTATTTACCCATCTTCTGTGGCCAGGGTAGTAGAACATGATCTGTGCTCCATTAGCTTTGGTGAAATGCAGGGGGGGCATCAGGGGTCTAATAGACCCTTGACATTAAAGAGAATCTGTTACTGTAAATATGCTATTGCATAGGGGGCTATTAAATGGAAAAAAAGTTTAAAAACTAAAGTAACAAAGCACAGTGGCTTAGTAGCACTTCAGCCTAGCAGCACTAGGGTCATTGGGAGAATCTCAACCATGGCACTACCTGCCTTGAGTTAGCATGTCCTTCCTGTGCCCGTGTGGGTTTCCTCCGGGTACCCCAGTTTCCTTTCAAGCTCCAAAGACAGATTGGCTCCTGGCTAAAATTATCTGTAGTATGTGTATGAATGTGAGTTAGTGACCTTACATTGTAAGCTCCTACAGGGCAGGGACTGATGTGAATGTACAATATATCTATAAAGCACTGTGTAAATTGGTGCTATATAAGTACCTGTAATAAATAAAAAATATATATGAAAAAAATGTTAAAGCGACCTAACCCTCAGTACACACACATACACAAATAGATGCATGTGTCAGGTTTGGCTACATATCCAAATGTTCATGGCGCTACACATGTTAATAAACGCAAGAGAGAAATTATTCTAGGGCGATCATTCTTGGTTATCCATAAAATGATGATATTTTAGGCTTTTAAAGCATCTCTAATGGACAATTTTGAACATCAAAGTTTGTGGCCATTTCATGGCCACACACTTTAAAGACTTGACATGGTGGGTATATGTTTACTTAGTGCAACCTTATCTTTTATATTTTTCCAAAAATTGGGTAACATATTTTGCTTGTGTGCAATAAAATTGACTTTTGTGTATCTTTTTTTTTACAAAAAAATACAGTATGTGTTCGATAAACCTACCCTCACATCAACCTTAAACCAAACCCTAATCTCATCTGCCAAAATCAATATAAAAAAGCAAGGATAAATGGATTGATGCACTGCAGTTTTGTGCCTTGTAGTCATATAAGCCAATATACTCCCATGAGAATAGGAAATAGGTGCAGAGAAGAAACAGGACAATAGATAACTTTTCTTTATACTTTTCATAGCAACATACAGTATAAATGAAACTGGGTATTTTGAACAATGAACGGTGAGTTTCTATAAAGAAAAATAAGATTAAACAATTACAATGGTAAGGTCAATGTGGATGAAAAGAAGTACCTTTTCCAAGATTTCCAATTAGGGAGACATTAAAAAGTCCAAGGAAGAATAAATTACTTGGAGCATACTGTACATAACACATAGTTAAGAGCAAGACTGCATATCTTTTATGAGTGCAGCTGCTGAACCCTATTGCCTACTACTTATTCCCATTACACTGAAAATTACAAAAACCCACTCTACTGTAGAAATGATCGTTTGCTGCTTATGAAAAAATTCTAAAACGCAACTGGCAAAGGAATAATTTAGACAATACAAAAAGGTTTAT